ATTGTTTTATATTGGATCAGGCCTAGTCCCCCAATACTTTTTTTTTCTGTTTCATGTATTTGTGCAGATGTATACCTCCCGAAGGGAGATTTTTCGTCTAGTCCCCTCTCATTTTGAATTTAATGTACATTATTAATAAAATTCAGTAAATGTTCTCTGACATTTACCCCACCGACTTAGGTGGGTTGGCCTTCCGGGTTTAAACATAAATTATTATGACTAATGTTACTAATATATATAGTAACTATACTTAACAGGTCACATTTTTTGTAAATAATTTTTATTTTAGTTAAAAATATGTAATTATTTCATATACGTAGTATATTATACTTTGTCCCTCATTCTGTTTATATATAGGTGGTGTCAGTTTAATTTTTTCAAAATATACCTCTACATATATAATTACAAAAAATATTTGAGTGGTGTCAATTGATTGTCATTCTATTTATATAGATGGTGTGAAATTAATTTTTGGACATATAACTCTATGTATATAATTGCCAAAAAAATGAGTGGTGTCAATTGACAACACATTCTTATATGTGGCCCCGTCACTGGAACCACCCCAACTCAAATCTTGAATTTATCAAAAAGTCCTCACCACACTCTCAAACCCAGACTATGCAAGCCATTGCCAAATATGTTAGTACGTAATTGTATCCAGACTATGCAAAGTACTCGACTATGCAAGCCATTGCCAAAGATATTTTGGCAATTCCTGTTTCTACGGTTGCTTCAGAATCGGCATTCAGTGCTAGTGGCAGATTAGTCAGTCCTCGTCGGAACCGGCTACATCCAAAGACCATAGAAGCATTAATGTGTGCTCAAAGTTGATTGTGGAACAATATCAAAGGTAACTAAGTATCATACCCATATTTAGGTCTTTAACTAGCTTCCAATTTTTTGTTTTTTATGCTTGACTAATTCTGTTTTTTTAAGCTATAGATGAAGAAGGGCCATTTCTTTCTGATGGTTATGCTTCAATATATGAAGACGATATTGACTAGCATTAACCCGTCGAAATTGCGGAAAAGGTATATATTATTATTGTTAACTTGTTTGTTAATTTTTTCTACGAAGTGCAATTCAGCCTTTTGTTGAAGTGTACTATGGAGTTTATGTTGTATCTCATACTTCAGTACTTGCCTGAACACACTCTTCTCAAAGCTTCGAATAAACCAATCAATTATTTTCTGCAATTCTGTAAACCGGGTTGAACTTTTGGCCAAGAAAATCACAGAGCTTGGCTACTCTTGCTTGTATATTCATGTAAAGATGTTTCAGGATCACCGGAATAGAGTAATTCATGACTTCCGCAATGGTGCTTGCCGCAAACTTGTTTGTACTGATCTCTTTACAAGAGGCATAGACATTCAAGTTGTCAATGTTGTTATTGACAATGTTGTTATCAATTTTGATTTCCCAAAGAATTCAGAAACATATTTACACAGGGTTGGGCGATCAGGGAGATTTGGACACATTGGTCTAGCTGTTAATGTATATAGAATAGAGCAAGATCTGGGAACAGAGATCAAGCAAATTCCTCCACATATCAATCAGGCTATATACTGCTTGTGATATGTGTACTCTTGAATGGTGTTAGTTAGCGATGAATGTGTTGGGCTCAATCTCTGAATGTAGGATATCGTAAGGGTTGTACTTTGAAGACGGGGTAGACTGGAAGCCCGCCACCATTCTTGGAGATATACCAACTCCTTAAAACTCTTTATGGACCCCAAAGTACATGTCCCAAATGCAGAATGGATGCACTATGAAACTGTCCATGGTGTATGGTTGCTTAATATGACTTTTTCTGGCTAAAAGGAAAAAAGATTTTTCTGGAGTGACTGTGCTAACAAATTTTAATGTGTTGTGTTTGCCTTGTGTTTCAGATCCTTTATATTTGCAGGCACAAAGATGTGTTCAATTATTGGCGTCTTTGATAATTATCTAGCAGTTTAAGGAGAAACATTAAACATACTATAGTAGTATAGACTCTTAGTTTTTTAATATTTTCCTACTGTTCATAAAAACATAAGCATGAAATGAAAAAGAATGTTAAAACATTTTTTAACCTATGATTGTATATTGCTCATATTATGTTTGTGAGTTTGTGTCTCTTTTTACGTAATTCATAATCATTACGGAGTATTATAGTTGATTATGTTGTCATATTTTACCCAATACTTTTTATTACTCTTTGCAGGTTTAAACAATGTTGTGTTGAACTGTTGATGCACTACAAGTTTGGAGTTTGTTGTTTAAATGTTCTGTCATTGTTGGTTTATTTTAAAACATGATATTTTTTGTTATTGGACATCAAATATTGTTGTGATGTTGTATTGTTTTGTCAAGAATTTGGATCACTTGGATGTGTAAGTTTAAATGTTTTGGTACTGTTATGATGATCAAGTATTTGACTTTATATAATTGTGTTGTTTATTGGCGATTATTGTTTTTTTAGGTCATTAATTGAACCCCCCCCCCCCCCCCCCCCCCCCGGTAACGGTTATCCGCGGGTAAACCCGTTACCCGTTTAAAACGGGTACAGTTCGGGTAAAAAATAACCGAACGGGTAACGGGGCGGTTTCGAGAAATGCAAATTACCCAACGGGGCGTTTACATTATAGGTATACCCGCCCCCGAACCGCCTCGTTGCCATCTCTAGTCCTCACCACACTCTCAAACCCAGTGGAATTAAAAATGCATTTCAGCACATGCTTCTCGAAAAGAAAGTAAGAAATACAATATCAATATGTTGACACTACGACATGAACAAGAGTAGAAACTCGTGGATGAGCTTTCTTCAATAAATATCTCATATATTCTTTGAGCTCTTATTTATCTCTGTTAATTCTTCTGGACTTATCCACCTTCATAGCCGAGCATGTGTATTTATAGTGGTGTCTTGAGGGAAAATGATCCGGGGACAGAGCCCCACTCTCTATCTGTCAGATTGTGATTATAGTCCAATTTACATCCTCCCATCGTGCCGTCCGGTCGGTGGTGGGGGGCCCTCAGGGATGGGGTGTCATCCTTTTTTTTTTTTTTTTTTGAGGGAAAATGAGTTTTATTATGGAAAATATATTTTCTCATTAATATGGCATCCAAATTCATTCCCTTTTTCAAAACACTTGTTTATGAAAGTATTTGTTCATTAATATGGCACATAGATTTATTCCTTCAAAATGCTCTTTCTTAAAAACTATTTTAGCCTCTCTTTTTTTTGAAACCTTTCACGGCTTTCCTTTGAAACATTCATCCTTTTATTTTGAAGACTTTACTTTACGAAAAAGATTTAGATGGTGTTTCCTTTTATTAGAGAAATACATTATTTATTCACTTTTAAGGAGAACCTTTATTGTTTTGGAAACTTGCCTAGCAAGAGGAGATACATGATCTGCCATTCTGAAAAGTCTTAACACTTCGGAAACTTGCTTTGTGAGAAAGATATTGTATTTGACAAATTTATTCTCTCATACTTGGAGAAAAGAATTTCCTTAATTTAACTTATTTCCATAGAGAAAAGGTCCTTTCTTTGTATGCTTTTCTATTATTTCCTTGCGAAAAATGATCCTTTTCAGTTTGACATAAGTCAAAATCGAATTTGAGTGTAAATGAAAAATATTTTCAAGTAAGCTTGTTTAATCATTTCTTTTTCAACATCCTTTAATGAAACAAAGTGTAGCACTGATTCTCTATCATTCATAAAACAATGTAATTTGTTTCAACAACAATTATCCATTAAATGCTCACTACTGAAGTAATAATACTCCATATTCGTAAGTTCGTGACTAACATAGTACGGAGTACTGATAAAATAAAAATGGTTACAATTAACCAACAACAGATGTGCAAGGGCTTTTTTACAGTAAATATTTTAAGAGATTTCATTGATGATTTTTCTAAAACTGGTTGACGGGTGAATCGTACATTCTTGTATTTTGACATTAATTACTGTACTGAAATTTCTTGAATTTGCCCGGATGTTTGTGTTTTCTGAAAATATTTTGGGAAAAGGTGCAAATAGGCCCATGTACTAACCCAAAAAGGTCAAATAAGCCCTTATTTAGGAAGTTCTGTCCGGACGTCGTCATTTGGGGTGGTTCCCGATGGAATTTTTTAATGAAATTTTTTGAGCATCTTATTCATCAAGTCTAGTTTGCTCATACCAAATTTCAGCTAAAACTTCAATCGAGAAGGCATTCAAATAAATTTTTGAAGATAACTGCGCTTCTAACTGCGCAGTTATTTTCAGGAATTCATTTCAATGCCTTCCCGATTGAAGTTTTTGCTGAAATTTGGTATGAGTAAACTAGACTTAATGAATAAGACGCTCAAAAAATTTTATCAAAAAATTCTACCGGGAACCACTCCAAATGGCGACGGCCGGACAAAGATTCCTAAATAAGGGCTTATTTGACCTTTTTTGGTTAGTACATGGGCCTATTTGCACCTTTTCCCAAATATTTTTTAGGCTTTGTTTACAAACACTAGTAATAAGTGCTTTTGAATTTTTTAAAGTGATTTAGGAAAAAATGATTTTGAAAAGTAAAAGTTATTAGTGTTTGATAAAATAAGTGCTTTTTGTATAATAGAAAAAATAAAAAACAGATTCTAACTTTTAACTTTTAAGTATTAATTTAAGTAAAAAACATTCTTTTTATCTTTTTTAAAGCCAAAAGCTAATAATCACTTTTTTTTTGAGTGTTTGCAAACAAAGGCTTAAAATAGCATGTAAAAAGTAAAACCCTTTCTTTTACTGAGTACGGACTACGGAGTATATTTTGCTGATTTTTGGGCGATTGGCTGTAAGAGGCTAGCGGTTGAGCGGGAATATGTTATTCATATACATCTGAGTTGCTGGAATTCTTGACCAGAAATGAATTTCGATGCCAATAATTAATAAATAGCCATATATAATTTACATGTTCAGAAAACAGAACAGAGTGTAACTACAAAGAAAGAACAAGATTGAAGATTCTTAGTTTCACATGCTAGGAAAATGAATAGCCACACTTCGGGCATCTACTAATTGCCAGGTCAATCAAGTAACAGTTACTGACAAATTAAGAACCTCACTTGTCAAATTAGAATGCTATGTTCGGATCCCAGAATATGCTAGGAAAATGAAATACAAATGTTTGTTTCGTATGTTTGAATTTGCCGAACTGATATATATATTTAAGAAATAAATTTAATGAGTTCGAAATAATGGTATATCGAGTATTTTCCTCAAAACTTTCCTTGCTTGTAAATTAATGCTGTATTTTCTCCCCTGCTAATTTACATCCTTCCCGTTAAGTGTCTGGCCCTCGGGGATGGTGTCATCTTTTTTGTATTTTCTCCCCTACTTTCTTTCCTTCGCATTTTCCACTTTCCAAAAAGACCCTAACAGATTAACAAGAATAAAAAAAATCAGGATATCCAATGAATAAATTAAAGATAAAAAACCAAGCAACAATTCCCAGCACTAAAAAATCTCGAAGGTCTTTCATGCTTTCCAATGAAGACGAATTTGTACTCTTCAGTTAAGATAGCCCCTTCATGGAGCCATAGCTGGGAAAAGGGCGCTGTATAAATGAATCAGTTATACCAGGGAAGGTTGCAGATGGATCTAGTCAACCAAGTCTCCTTTTCACGAGCCCCTGGAAGAAATCAAACCTGAGGCAAAAAGATGCCTTTTGAAATTTTGAGTCAACAAAATATAAGGTTCTGAAACTGGAATTTAACAAGCCTAGTATAAAAGAGTGATAAGTATTAGTTTTGTAGCACCAGAAAAAGTGTTACAGAAAATGTAACATTGATGTAACAATCAATGGATTGTAACAATCTCATATGTTTCTACAATGGTTTTTCTACAATACTGCTCTGAAAATATTATGGAAGGTTAAGCTCATTTTCTTTCGTAAACAGAAAAGACTGGAAGCACACCTATACAACATAATCTCCACCACAATACTTTTAAAGGCTTCCTTTGTTATATAATAATGGATGGCACATTTCAAATTATACGGTTTGACTTATATTTATGATTTGATATGTTGTACTCCCCTGTAATATTTAACTTAGTAGTGTGTCAATCTTATATATATCTAAAAGCCACACTAAAATAGGATCGAGCAATAATGACTTTTAGGTTCTGATGCTAATATGCTAATGCTACGATGTTTCATAAGAACAATGACGGGTTTACGAATTGACTAAACAAGCTTATGTTTTGCTGAGATGATTAATGATTTTTAGTAGCAACTACAATCCACATGGTATCCAATAGAGAGAAACCTGCCCCCACCCAACCCCACACTCATACACCTTGTCAATTCTATTTATGAGAGCAGACTCGGTTTTTTGTTCATGCCCCATTTCCTAACTACTCTTCATATCAGCCCATAATATCAATGCTTTCTTCCCCTTTTCCCATCACTACTGTGGCATTGATAAGGACCCTCCACTCCTCCAGTTCTGCCCAGTACTTCAAAAAACACAAGAATGAGATGAAACGATATACCTGTTACCATCTGGGTGAAGTTCACATGTTTGCCCATCATCAGATACGCCTAATAAGTAACCTGAGGGTGATAAGCCCTAATTGCAGAAATGATAATTAAAAAAATAAGCAATTCAAGATGAAGTGGTAGACACGTAAAAATAAAAAGTGGCCCGTGAAATGACACTTCATCAAATTGTAGAACATAGCAAAGTTTGAAAGGCATCTTTGGACTCGAATTGAATATTTAAATATCAATTCCATAACTTAAGATATTGGAATTCAATACTAGTTCTGTTTATGAAATTACAAAAAAATCAAATATCAGGTTTTAAATAAAAAATTGTTGTTTGAGAAACCATAGAAGATGGATTTCAACCATATTTATAATACTTCCTCCAAAAATGTTTCAACGATTTGACTGATTAATTTGAATATCATGTTTGCCTAGTTACTGATGGTTATGAATGAAATACATCAAGTAATAGAAAAATATTGATTCTTATGCTAATGCATTAAAAAGTCGTGATTAAGGATGTTTTTACTTGGACTGTAATTTGCCCCAGACCAGACCAGACCAGACCAGTCCAGACCAGACCAGACTTGGATAGTTATAAAAATACAAAGAAACTAGACCTTACAAGACCAGACCAGACCAGTTCAGATCAGACCAGATCAGACCAGACCAGACCAGCAAATTACAGTCCAAGTAAAAACATCCTAAAGGGGCATTGCCTATGTAAGGCTTCACTTCATGCAAAACTTTTAACAGGGACGAGTATTAGCTAAGCTCCAGTGTCTGTAAATGGCTTTTGATCCTCAAACCAAAAGTTTCAAAATGACTTCAGTGTGATTCTCATAAAATGACTCATCCTTTGAACATTACTCCCTCCGTCCCCGAAAGAAGTTCCCACTTTCCTTATTTGGATGTCCCTAATTTAAGTTCCCATTTTCTTAAATGGAAAGTTATCTACATCAAAACAATGCCAAACAGTGCAAAACAGTGTCAAACAGTGCCAAACAGTGTCGAAGCAGTGTCAAAACAGTAAAATTTACCCCCTGATAAGTTTACTTGCATAAAAGTGTGTGAAAGTCAAATGGGGAACTTCTTTCGGGGATGGAGGGAGTACAATTTAAGATGCTCCATAATCTTTAAACCCCTAAGTAAGTAATCAAATTGTTTTTACAGTATCAGATTGATCATCCCCACTGAACGAGTTGAAGACTTGAAAGTCCTCATAAGAGTTTCCAATGTGTGTTGTGTGTGTCTGAGTGATAATTTATTTTTAAGAGTAAGATTTGGGTTAAAACAAATTCAAAAGTCAAAACTATTTGGATTGACAAAACAAAAATTTTGCCTCAAGCCGCAAACTTGAAGCGGAATTCTGATATCCAAAAGTAACAGGAAAATTTAGATTTCTTGCAGAAAAAATAGAGGTAATGACCTGGATAGTGACCACATTATCGACAAACTGATCTTGCTTCTCAGACACTTCCTGTACAATAACTCGCTGCCCACTGCATCAAAGCATAAATAAGTAAAAGGAATACCACCAAATACGTGAGAATAATATTAAGAAGGGAAAATAACTTTAAATAATACCAACTATCTTCAATGAACCAATAATAATACATACTTTAGAAATAGCTTTTAATAATACCAATTATCTGAATGTGAACCAAAAATAAAATTTAGACACTTTTCTATAAAAAATTCAACCATTTAAGACATCAAAAACTAAGATCAAATCATCAAATAATTGATATTTGAAAATATGGTCACTTATTTGATATTTTGATATTAGTTTTTGATGAATTGAATAAATGAATTTTTAGTAAAAATTTGCTACATATCACTTTTGATAGATATTCAAATAGTTGGTGTTATTAAAAGTTATTTCTCAAATTGATATTATTTTTGGTTCATGAAAGATAGTTGGTATTATTTAAAGTTATTTTCCCTATTAAGAATATTAAGCTTGCTAAATTTGCCGCTCCCTTTATGGGCTTCAGGATATCCAGTAGTATGATCTTAAAAACTAAAAACATACTATAAAATAGGAACAAAAGGTGGTGGGAAAACATTGTGAACATCATATAATCATCATGTCAAACAAGTGCAATCATGTTTAGTGATGATTGTCTGATATATCCAAGTCAGACAAATCATCTATTGGAAGATTTTACTTTAAACCCAGGAAGGGCATTTTTTTACCTGTGGAGCCAGGACTTATAGTACAACTCCTCAAGAGGCTGAAATCCTGCATGAAGATTAAAATACAACAGCTCCGCAATGATCAGCATGATGAACACACAATTAAAAAAAGTGTGGGACTAATGTACTAGATGAATCATTACAGCCGAAATCACATGATTAAATAACAATCACAGTGGCCTATAATTCTAAAAGCTGGCAGGTTTGTAGCATCGATTCTAGAATAAAATGATTTTAGACACGGTATTAGGGATAAGGAACAAATATATCTTGAAATATATGACAGATGACATATATATACCCCTAACATAATAATATCTGACCTTTTTTAAAGAAAGTTTCATTCAAAGTCTCAAACTTATTGAAAAATGCTGCAAGAATGCCTTCTCTTTTTAACAAATTGCGGGCAGATGTTGATTTTTGCAGAGCAGCATTTAAGCATGTCGTGGGTTTCTCATTATCCACATTTATGCCTATTCCTGCACAACAGTAAGAAATTGAAACAAGCATTGAAGCACACGTATAAACCACCTAAAACCCCAATAGTCATATTGCTCAAGAGTCATCGCGTTTAAGCAAGGGAGTTCCCAAAAAAATCAACAGCACACAAAGCCATGTTGCAAAACAAGCATAAGAAGATTCGTGGATGGAAGCACTACAACAACTTCTGAAGCCACAGTACCCAAAAGGGAAAGCACATAAACAATAAAACAAGGGGAGAATGAAGAAAAAGGAAAACCCACGAGAACATTATGGTAAGTTCATTGATTGAACAAACTCATAATAAATTATTTCATTGAAAAACTTAATATAATTACCAGCACTGACATTAAACTTCTGGGACTTGTATGTTGAAGTGCACAAAATGCCACCAACCTTAAGACCATCTAAATAAAGATCATTCGGCCACTTTATTCTTACATTAAGGTGTGATGCGCCCTGAAATGAAATGTGTAGAAATCAATTTTAAAGCTTTTCCATCACTACTTTATGTTTCCTAGTCATCATATTACAATAAAATAAAGAAAACTAAAAAAATCATTTAATGGAATACGACATTGCTCATTCCTCAAATTATTCAGTTGCTCTGTCGAAAAAACATGCTTTTAAAACAATTTTCTATAAAAAATAGCAAACAAAACTATTTTTTATTTATGCTATTGTGCCTTGTCAAACAAAGGAACCTCAAAAAAGTTAAATGTGATATAGCTTAGTCAACTTTCCATTTGATGACTTGTGTTTTAAGTAGAATCAACCCTTTGCTCATGACAGTACTTGTTCCACTCAAGAAGTTTAGTTGAAAAGAATGCCTCTTCTTGGAGGTGGAGTATCACCAATTTTCTTTAGGGGGCAGATTTTACAATGGAAGGTAACCACTTTCCTAGGAAAGTAATTGAAGGAAAACATTTTCTATTGTGCGGTAAATATTTCCATTGAAAGAACGAAACGCCTCCTTACAGTTGCAGGGAGTTTGGCCTAATTTTATTTCCCTTGAAAACCAAGGAAGATGTTTTTTTTGGGGGGGGGCTAGATTTGGATTACAGATTTTATGCTACTAAAGTAAGGTACAAAGCATTCTGTTTGTGATTCCTCTATTCAACACAGCAATCAAATAAAAGCTGCAATGTACTTACGAATTGGTTGCAGAGATCATTAATGGCTTCCGTCATAGCAAGGCTGACTACATACTGCACATGTGGCACCATTCGTCCATCTACCATTTGTAAGGTAAATGAAAAAAGAAGGGAACCCTTTGGAGATTCCCATACATTCGCTGAGCGTCCTTAGTTCCAAAAGTAGACATGCGGATAAGTTATCCCATAAAAAGCATGACCATACACTTAAACATTACAACTCCACTAATACCTCGCCCCTTGAATTGCACATCAGCAACACAAACGGCACCAACTGGCAGCTCACAGAAATTGCTGTAGAAAAAAACCAGTGGCACATGGATGACTTCAAGGTAGTGGGAAATGCTTGGGTTGGGTCAGCTCTTAACATATTTAAACAATAAAATTCTGAAGTGGGTCTTTTTTTCTTCCTGGTGCAATATCATTGTCATACAATAGAGGCCCAAATGCCATAGAACCATTGTTACGTGGGTGATGACACATAAATATGCAATGTTCAGGGAAACTAAGAAGAATTAATCATCAATCAATAGCCTAAAGACTCAACACAGGCATTCATAAAAAAACGCAAACATGCATACCTTGAAACGAAATCCTGGGTGGAAGACAGTCCTGGAGAGTAGACAAGAAATCTCCCGAGTCCAGTGGCCGTTTTGAGACATTTAAAGTAATCGCGTATGCGAAACGCGTCGTTTCCAAGTCCACTTTCAACCTCCGAATGCAGAACAACTTCGACTCCATCATCTCCCGGCAGTTTCAGGGTACTTTTATTCTTCAATGATTTCGCCAGTTCATTCTCAGCCTCCGATTTCCCGCATAACACCATAAGCGAAGGCGTTGAAGATTCCATCTTTATATCTAACCAATTATAAAAATTGAAGTAAAATCGCAAAACCGTAGTTCATTGTACGCATGGAGATAGAGAGGAGGAGCAGAGTGCGAGAGATGGGGTGTTTACCAGGCATAGGGGCAGATGCGGAGAAAGAGAAGAGAGAATGAGGGGGGAGCTTGGGAGTGTGAAGAATGCGGATGGAAGATAGATGGTGGTGAGAAAGCGGAGGGCGGCATCCAAAGATCATCAAACACCGCTTCAGTTCAGTTCAGGACAGGGAGCAATGATGAGTTCCAATTTGACCTGAAAAAGCTAACCTCGGACAATCCGGAAACAATCCTGGACACAATTTGTCCTGTTTTTTTTTTATATATGGAAATTAGGTGACATATATGATCTGACTTGATCGGTATGATTTGTTTAAGTCTGGTCTAATCTAATCTAAAATAGTCTGATAAATATATGCTCTCTGTTTATTTAATAATTGTTCAAATATGTTTAAGTCTGATCTAGTTTGTTTAAGTCTGATCTGTTTTGGAATTGAAAACAACAAAAAAACATCATATTGCATATCGTTTATTGACTCCTCCATTTCACCAAATTTAGGTGTGCTAAAAAATGATTTAGGTGTACCATGTATCTACCTTTTATAATAAATGCATCTGGTAATGAACTCATTACCTCACACAAACTCTGAACCACTAAGCTAATGCATTCACTTGTTACAATTATTCTTTTAGAAATATTTGAAATATACACATGCTAACTTTAGGAACATACAAGCTTAAAAACTATATTACTTCTTTCTCAAAAAATTAAAAAATATAATAAAAATCTAATTTGAGATATTCAATAAAAAATACATACCTAATTAAGAGTATACTAAAAACTTAATAAAATAAAAATAAATAAATGCCATGCCATGCCCTAGCTCACACCATTTTTTAAATATATTGTTAATGTAAATAAATTTTAAAAATTACTTTTACTCATTTATTTATTTATTTATTTACTTAATCGTTTATTTATTTGTTATTTATTTATTTATTTATATATATTTATTAATTATTTATTATTATTTGTTTTATTATTTAATTATTTATTTATAAATTTATTGATAAATAAGTAAATAAATAAATATATAAATGAATAAATAAATGAATCAATAAATAAGTAAATAGATTGTTTAATAAATAAGTAAAATTAATTTTTACTTCATGTCATTGTTTCGCTAAGAAACCATTGTGGCTTACGTCATTGCCTCACTTCATGACCTGGAATGTCACAAAAGTGACAAACAATATTAGAAGTATTGGTACAAGATGTCCTGTGTGATAGCCCCCTCGATCGACCACGGCGTGGGTGGTGACACACATCGGTCTGAAATATGAGGACGACGTTCCTCTGGTGGCAGAATAGCTTGTGTGACGTTGGCGATTGTAAGGAGTGATGACGACGTGGCCGCAACCTCAATAAGGCATTGCTCATGTTCCAATAATATATCTTGTAATTCAGTATATGGAAGTGCCAAAGAATTCACACGTATAGACGATGTGAGCTCATTGTAATCTGGGCCGAGTCCATTAAGAATGTTGATAACCAAATCTTTTTCAGTGATGGGATTGTGAACCAATGACAACGTACAATGAAGTTGTAGTGTGTCTCAATACTTGCACTTATATGTAGTACAATGAAGATTCGTATCCACACAGAAATGAATTCTTTTCTTTATAAAAACTTGTATTTAAAGGGGGTTTAAGGTTGATTTGATTTAATAATTAAAACACTAAGATGAACCACGTAAATGGTTTTAATTAATGAGATAAAAGACCTGACTTTGTTACTTTTCACTTGTTGATATGTTTGTTGATCCCGTTTATATCTGTAACTTATCCCCTGTCAAATATTCAACCGGGGTGTATCTCTAATATATCGAGGGTAGTTATTAATAACAAGATCGTTCATTAGCAACCCTTATTATTAGCCAAGTATAGAACACCGTCATATACCGACTTGATAGTAGTATTTAATCTCTTCTTGATGAAATCAATTGAGATTGATAACCTCAACACAACAATTTTGGTATAGAAGAATTCATGCACGCTCTTGATAATGATGGGGTAGGTCTATATTTTATCTTCGATGCTGCCGCAGATTATCTAGCAGAAAATACTCAGACCGCTCCGCTACAGAAAAATTTCTTTACTCGATTCTGCAGAAAGTGGCCCCAGGTACTCTAGGTCTCACACGGAAAAATTTTAAGGAGCTTCTGCGCGACTCAGGACCACACCAAATTCTGAAGCATAAACTACTCAATGATCACTCTATCTACAAAGAATCTCCTATTTACAAGAATGCACTTCTAGAACCCAAACAAGAGGAAGAAGATGGTTTCACTTCAGTTGTCTCCAGGAAGGACAAAAAACGCAACGCCTCTTCGATTAAGACTGTGCAAACTAGGCAGCAGTCTAAACGGGCATAGAATTTTTGCTTCTCGAGACTTCTTTTGGATCCACGGTTATATTTGGCGTGAATAAGTCTCATCCTTCTTTTTCTCACCTTATCTTTTGTACTTTCATTTCAGCAGCTCATGTCTTTTATTATCGTGTGATGAACTATCAAAAAAAAAACAATTTTGGTTTAACCAACACAATTAATCCCTCTTAAGATTATTAACCATTAGACCATGCATCAATAGCCCGAAGTTACTTACTTGTGAAACCATCAATGATTAACGCATTAATGTCAAGACGTTAACTAATTGTCATTTAGCAACACTCCCAACATTAATATAGATATAGAGTAAGAGAAGAATCAATATTCAAGGGAAGAAATAAAAAAAATAACTCACAACTTTAACATTCAACAAGCTTCAAGAGCAAAACCAAGAAATGAGAATTTAGCTTCTCATTTGGAGATTAAACATGCTAAAAAAATATAAAGAAATTCTTATTCTAAGTTAAGCTTAATTATATATATGGAAGAAGGAATGAATAATGTGAAGGAAAATGGTGTTATTTATAGGTGTATTGAGTGTGTTGCGCTAGATATCCGACTGGGTATAGGTACATACCCGACCGGATACGCCTGTTTATCCGGGTCTAGTCGTACCCGATCGGGTATGATCGTATCTTCGCAACACCTTCAATTTTCTCTTGTCTTTCAAATCAAGATCGGGTAAAGTACGAATTCAGCCTCCCCTCATTCTGTTGTCTTTCAAATTCATCCTTATCAAATACAGTATCAAACTCACTACTCCTATTTTACAAGCTTGCAACGATGCTTTAAACACAAACGGAAAGCACAATCAAACGTCATAAATCTATGAACTAAGTAATAAAGTATCATAAATGAAGCCTAAAAACAAACACTTCTGCCCTCATGTTGTGTACATGTCGACTAGGGCAAGGGCTTTGGAAATGGCAACCATTTTAGCCAGATATTCGGTAATGAAATGGTTACTTTTTGTGGTCCAATACTTGTCACGCCCCAGACCGCATCTAAGCGTGTGTACAACCGCCGTATGACTAAATGACGTCACTCACAAGTCAACGTGACTTAATCATACAAGGCGTTCATGAACATAGTTCATACCATACTCGGTAAGTAAACATACATAACAACATCACATATTTGGATTGAACGAATAGCGGAAATATTCAATATTCAATCATGGGCCACACATGGCCAAAACGTGGGCTCGCAGGCCGAAAACAAATGTATTTATTACAAAGTATCCATGAGCATAGTTTATAGTTTTAAACAGTAAAGGAAGCACGAACCACGTCTTCCTTTAGATCACTTCACCGAGCAAGGTGAGAATAGCAAGCTTGAGCTTCAACCTGAAATGGTGGGGGGGGGGGACTAAGGGGTCAGTATAAGTACCGAGCGGGTAGCAGGCTAAATGTAGAATAACTAACGTTTCAAGTATAAGACCCAAACATAGGGTGATACATATACATATACATATAGCTCTTTCCCCCAAGTTATGAAATACATATCAATATATCTATACACTTAGAAATACCCGACCCGTAGGTCATTGTTTATTTGGGAAAATAGTATAGTCAATATCCTTGACTTAAACCCCAACCCATCCATATACCTATGAGTGTAAAGAACTCCTCCTAGTTCAAATCATCTTAACATGTGGACACCGCCCGGTCCTGAATTACAGAATAGTAATCTATGAGTTTTGAGGATACACGCCCGATCCCTTGGAACTCCACCCTATATAGCCGAGTTTTGAGGATACACGCCCGATCCTTGGGTACTCCACCCTATATAACCGAGTTTTGAGGATACACGCCCGATCCTTAGGTACTCCACCCTATAACCGAGTTTTGAGGATACACGCCCGATCCTTGGGTACTCCACCCTACCTATGATCTACCACATATCATACTAGATAATGTCTATATCATAATCAATAATCAATACTAAACCAAGTCTTACGGCCTAAGCATAATCGTCCATGCAATTCATGCATTAAAAGTCAACATATAGGCAAAACAGCACCAAACTGGCGCCGGTTTTGACATAACCGGCGCCGGTTATTAATTAAATTAATTAAACCAGCCATGCTGAACCATAAACGGCGCCGGTTTTGCCTATAACCGGCGCCGGTTACCCCCTGGGCAACGTAGTCGATCAACATTTCATTGACTCGCCATTTCAAACCCGATTCGTGTCAAACTTAATCCCAACGTGTATTAAGTTATAACCAAGCATTTTATGCCCCTTTTATCCTTTAAAACATCACATATGTTTTTATAAACATTTTCATATCATACTTCATTTATGATATCAATGGGTTATTCATATAAGCCTAATCACTTTGGCTAATAACATGTTTAAGCATCTTTTAAACATCTCTATGAACACATATAACATTTACTTAGGTAATCTCATAATTAACCCAAGAGTTATAAGACATTAAGCTGTCCACTCACCTTGAATTAGCGCTATGAAGTTCTACCCTTCTCGGTTGAACTCCGACGAAACTCCGGCAAACTTTGACGAACTCCGGCGACTCTTTTAACTTCATGAAAGCTCTTGAATCACCTTATACAAGTTCCTAACAAGGTTTTATCATCACAAAACCCATATCAATACAAATAACCGTAAAAAGGTTATTTTCCGGCGAACCGGTCCCTTTGGCTTCTAAGTCCGTTCTTGGACGTAGAACTACTTTCGAACCCATTGTTCTACACTTTTGGACATGTAGAAACATACTAGGGGTTCCTCATATGCTATATAAGCCATATGAAGTTCAAAGAGAGGAGAGAAAGTTAATATGGAGTCATTACCTTAATTATCCAAGCTTTTCTTCACTTTTTCCCTCTTTAATATTCTTTCTTGGACCTTGTCTTCTTGAGCTCGAATTTGGCTATGGAGTAAGGTGTTTGCAGAGCTCTTCTCTTTGATTGGGGTGGCTTGGATGCACAAGACAATGGGGAAAGGGGTGAGGAGACTCCTTTTGTCTCAAATGGCAAATAAGTGAGGGGGGAGGTCCACCTTGGGTCAACTCTCACCCAACCATCACTCTCACCCTACACACACATCCCAACCCATGTTATGCAGCCTCCTTTGTCAACTATGAGCTCTCAAAAACGTGGGGTGGCCCCCACTCATGTGGGAGGTCATCCCATTATGTCCCAAAGTGTACATTCGGCCCCAGAAGTTGTATTTCTCGGACTGTTGTAACTATATTTTATTTTATCAGGTCAAATAAAATATGTAGTATGTTCTCAATCATTACGAGCCTTTATAATGAGTATACTTTCCCCAACTTTAATTATGAAGTCTCTGAAATTCATTTCGGACTGTTATCCGATAAATTACCAAAACCGGTAATTGGGCCTCGTTTGACCAACCCATCGACTCAATGTCTTTCTTAATGAATAACCAACATATACATATGTTATATAGACCAAGATGAATATATTGTGTGGACTCGGAATATTGGGTGGCTCCCGTTCCCGGTGTGGACCCCACGTGCAATTTACTATTCACGCAAAAAAAAACGACAAAAATTTACAACCTCGTAAATTCATTACTCAACACAACATGTTCAATACGACATAATTTACATAAAGGTAAATATATTTGGGGACGGTGTTACAAGGCTGGCTTTGGAAATGGCAACCATTTTATCCAGATAACCTTGACTAGAAAATTGCCAGTGGTAGTGAGATTTTATAACCTTGAATGAATCGGGGGGGGGGGGGGGGGGGGGATTTTATATCTCGCTTAGAGACTGGCTCCTAAAATTATGAAGACTTATGAATGAAAGAATATGAACGTTTTTACTTGAACTGTTTTCAGTCCCAAACCAACCAGTTCAGAGTTCAGACCAGACCAGACCAGATCAGATCAACAAATTTCAGTCTAAGTAAAAACATCTTATACACTCATATACTTCCTCCGTTCTTTATTAGTTGCAAGATTCCCATTTTCACGTTTGTCAATGCGCAACTTTGACTGTCATCACTACAAAATAAAATACGGGATTGACACGGAATTTGGCACGGATTACCGACTTTTCGTGCCAAATAGCTCCATCCAAAGTGTTTTTGGCACGGATTTTGCATAATCACTGCCAAAATCCTTGCCATAATCACTACGTAATAAAAACGTAAAAATGTTCCAATAAAGATCCCGAAAGAAATCATAAAGCAACTCAAGTAATGATTTAAGTGTGTTTAATTTTAAGGTCCACTAATCTCTAATGTTCTCCTACACCGGGCTTTGAGCGACTAAGCCTCAGCCCTCAGAGGTTTAGGAATTCTAAAATTAAAGACCGGGCTCAACCTAAATTTAAACAAAAAACTTAAATAGGACTAAAATATATGTAAAATAAGACTCATTTAATCCTATTTGGAAAAGTTTTATACTTTTAACATCATCAAATAAGTATTTAATGAAGCAAAACATGAGTACTCCCGGCCATTTATGTACTTTGCTTGTATTTTAATTCGATTTGAAGCAATTTCTTGAAAAACGTATTTCAGTGTAAAAAATTATGGGTATAATGTTTTTTGAAAAATTATTTGTTTAGAATTTGGCTAACTCTAACTTTTGCTTCTCCCTATGCCCTACTTATAATTGTTCAATATTTTAGAATATATATGCCTCTATATATTGGTCTTAGTTTGTATGTTCAAGGTAGTTCATGTATGTTTATTTATGAAACAATTTTTAATTTTAAATTTTCCAGTTAAATCAATTAATTGTCATGAGATTTTATCACTCGAGAAGTAATAAACAGCAGCAATAATTAATCAAACTATCAAAGTAAGAGTATATATTATAAAATGGAGTATGATATTTGAAATATAATAACCGTTTGAGAGTCTGAGACCTAGCTAGAACCGGTTAACCCAATAGTTATAAGTAATACATCCATTAATTGAAGATCAATGAACTCACCACACACATACAATCTCCAGATTAATACATACATACATGTCCCGAAATCTAATTTCCAAAAGATCGAAAGTGGTACTTCCATGCCACAAATTAATCACTTTTGCCAATAAATTTAAGTACAAAAAAGGGCTATCTCAAGTCATCAAAATGGCAATAAAACCCCAAAAAACAAGAATAACAAAAATGGAAATCCTAATTAAGAGTAATTGAACAAAAAAAGTCTAGCTAGGGGATCAAAAATCTGGAAGGTCTTTCATGCTCTCCAATGAAGAAATGGAACTTCTCATCAGCAGCAATGAATCCACGTAGTTACTGTACGACGATGGGCACAGGAAATCCATGGAGGTAGGATTGAAATAACCATCCATACTATTATTATTATTTATGTATTCATTATTATCAAAACCGCTGTTATTATTTTGCGGCTCAAAAACATGGCTCGCGCTACAGCTTCCTTCTTTTTCGTCCGTCACAACTGACGTCGACTCATTATCTTCACTCATCAACCCTATTTTCCCCATCATCTCAACATTATTATTATCATTATAATAATTATTATTATTATAATTATTACTGTCACTATTATTAATATTATTATTAATTGCTCCATCAACTATATAATGATCGCAAGGCTCGGGCTTAGGGTGGTGATGGAGAGGAGGAGGCGGCGGAGGCGGAGGAGGAGCAATACGGGAAGTACGGCGGTCCGCGGCAGCGGGGACCGGTGAGCGTGACAGGCCGGTGAGCTTTTGAACCAACGCCTTAAAATCTTTAGGGTGAGTGTGGATTACCTTTGGGGAGTGGGTGTAGATGATGACCGGCTGACGCGGTTGCGGCCTGGCGGCGGCGGTAGCGTTGGCCGCCACGCCACTTATGATCGACGAGGAGGCCGACGAAGAGGGAGGAGATTTCTTGATGACATGAGAATCACCTCTGATCTTCAATGCATGGTTGTTGGGCATTGTATGGGGATTGAGATCTCTCACCATCATCATCATCATCTTCCCATGCTGATTGTTGTTATTGTGATCACCCCCATCTTGAATTGGAACTTGAACTTCTTGGCTCATGATACCAATAATTATCACTTGGGTTGCTGTTTTCTATTTAATCTGGAGATAAGAGTATGTATATATGGGGATATATGAATATATCCACACACATGTAGTGTGAGAAGTTGGAATGTGTGTGGTGTGGAGTAGTCTAAGCCAATTGAGTAGTGAATTAGGTAAATGTGCATGTGTATTTATAGAATCCAGAAGAGAAGAAATAGCAAATATGTTAATTTTAGACTCCCTTTGGTTATAGGAAAGGAAAATATACACAATGTTCCTTCAAATGTTTGAAAGTTTACACACACATATTTTAAATGTTTCTATATGTTCTTTGAAAGTTTAAATGTTTTACATATATACTCTTTTCTTACACACACATATATGTATATATACATGTATATATACTACTTTGACCATTCATATATGAAGTTTTTCCTAAAATATTACTAATACAAAAGTCATGGACAAAAATGTGACTTGGTAACATACAGTTAAATTACTATAATTGTGTTCAAAGTTTACATCACGGTCACTAAATCATAGTAACTTTGAACATAATTATAGTAACTAAAAGTTAATTACTAAGTCATATTTTTGTCTGTAACTCTTAAAAGAGTAATATTAGTGAAATTTTATCATAATATATTTAATTCTCTTTTAAATAAATGTTCTTCAATATACTACTATGTAACAGTCAGCTTTTTATATTTGTCAATGCATGACTTTGACCATTAGTATACTGACCTCTCTTTTATTAAAAAATTATAAAATTCAGATTTAGAACATTTAGGATGAAACAAATTTAAAAATATATTTCTTAAAATTAATTATTAATACATTAATAAATAAAAAATAGTCAAAGTAGAACACATGAATAATGTAAGGATGTTTTCTTTTGGATTGTTTTCAGTCCAAGACCAGACCAGATCAGACTAGATTTGATCAGATCAGACTTCCATAGTTATAATATACACATATATTAGACATTTACCAGACCAGATCAGACCACACCAGATCAGACCAGACTTCCATAATTATAAAATACACAGAGACCATACATTTACCAGACCAGATCAAATCAGACCAACAAATTTCATTTCAAAAGAAAACATCCTAAAATTCTACATATTACATTTAATTAAGAACGGAGGTAGTATATATTGAGTTTCATACAAGAAATATTTTCCTTATCTTTTGATATTCGTTCATATAATTAAAGGGGTCTTAATTTTGATTTTTTTATGATAGCGATATATAAATTAAAGGTGCATGTTCAAATAAAGTAGTGCTCCCACAAAAAATAAGAATAACTTTTGGTCTATAATTACTTTAAGAATAAATGGATTAGATGAACTTTTAATCAAAAGACATTGATAATAAAATAACGTCCTAAATTGCTAATGTTATCATATTTTTTAGCTTATGCATATTTTATTTTGTATTATGATAACCTTTTGTTCTGCACATATACACTATTAATAAATTTTGTATAATGATGCACATTTGCTACACTACTTTGATGCCCCTTTGTTACGTGCCTATACGTATTTGCTAATATAATTAATGCAATACATTTTTTTACCTAAAATTTGTTCCTTTAATTCATTTTTTGACGCACGTCGATGTTAGTATCAATTCTTTTTTTTTTAATTCATTTTTAAAACAAAATTCTAATAATAAATGATGGTTGATGGTTGATTTGGATGTCGTTGCCGGAGAGATAGATAATGCTTGAGGGCAAGGTAGGATACTAGGATCGGAGGGCGAAGAGACTAGTGCGGCGAAAGAGTAGTAGTATGAGATTGAGACTATCTTAACGGTCTATTTGCATTTTAAAATGAGGAGAAATGATTAAATAAAAGTTGATAGTGTTTGAAAAAAAGTGATTTTGAAAAGTAAAGTTGGGAGTGTTTGGTAAAATAACTGTTTTTTGTGTAATCGAAACAGTAAAAGCACTTTTGACACGAAAGCCGAGCAAAATAAAAGTTGGTAGTGTTTGGTAAAATAAGTGTTTTTTAAGCCAAAAGTTGAGAAGTGCTTTTTTTAAAGCATTTGCAAACCAACCCTAAATTCTTGATCAAAGCCGACAACCAATACATAAAATTTTAGTCTGGTTTCCAATTTTAAACTTAGAGCCCTTTTTATAGCACTGAAATCGGCTGAATCGGTTGTTTCTGCTGATATTTATTAAGTTCTGGCTGAAGTGGCTGTATTGACTTATTCTGCTGATTTATGAAAAAATTATATATAAAATATATTTTATTAATAAAATAGAGAAAAAATTATATTAAAATAGCTAAAATGATCATCTACAGTAACTTCAGCCAATACAGCCAGAAAAGTAACTCCAACCTTACTTTTTATTACAAAATTTAGCACAAAAAATCCAAAGTTACGTGTTTGGTGTAAAATTTGACTGATAAGCCTGATAAGTCAAAAAAATAAAATAGACAGTAAAAATTGTGTGGTTGAAATTTGTGCAGAGAAGAGAGAATTAACTTTAGCCACGTATTCCTTACTTTAAATGGAAGTGACAAATCTTTTTGGGATATTCAAAAAAGGAAATTTGGTCAACCTTTTCGGGACGGAGTGAGTATCACATTATTGAATTTTGCTCCTCTCCATTAACGGGAAATCTCCATTAGGAGAGAGATAGAGAGATGGAGAAATAGTGAGGTAGAGAAAAAGAAAATGTTATGTTTAATGATTTTTTGGGGGAGAGAAATATAGTGAAAAAGAAATGAAGAACGTAAATGGAGAGAAGAAAATGAAAAGGAGCGTAACCCCACATTATTTTGGCGTCAAATAGAAAGGACTTCTTCTATCTAACCTTGGTTTTACTGTATTAATTAATCCGTAGTCACTTGCTTGTGGGTCAACCTCAATATCACGGAAACCGTGACCCGCCCTTTACTCCGTACTCCGGATTTGTTTTATGTCCTTTTGTTTTTTCCTTCTTTTAGTCGCTCTGACTTTTCTACAGCTACAGCTCTGGGTTTATGCTGGATTCCTTCCTCTCATTATTGAAACTCTGAATCAAGACGTTTCGGGTCTTCATTGTTCTTGTTTTCTGGGAGTGCAAGGAAATAAGCAAAGGGTTGTGTGAACTGACTTGACTATCTTTTGAATTGAATTGAATTGGATCTATCTGCAAATGGGGAAAAGGAGTAAAACTATGGAGTTGTTGACTAACTTGATGAAAGAAAAGCCTTTACTTCCTCTCTTGATTTTCTCGTGCTTATTGGTTTGGGGAATTGAGAAGTGGTTTTTCGCCCTCACCAACTGGGTTCCTCTTGCTATTTCTCTCTGGGCTGCTTTTCAGGTATGCGACCACATTTACTTTTCTGCCTATTTTTTTTTTCCAGCTCAATTTCAATAATTTCATTTTCTTCTTGTTACTACTTTACTGCAAAGAAGTTCAATTGATATAGTTTTGCCATTGTCAATTTGGTGACTAGTTTTCTTTACAAATACATCATTTTAGACATTGCTTTGATTTATTTATTTACAATGAGGCTTCATTCTACAAATATATGTCTTTGATGAGATCCTTACTAAGGGTGGGTGCTTTGGATAGATTTGACCAACCAAATCGAGTTCGAATTAGAATTCAAGATTACATCGAGTTCATTCGGCTGGCCCGCAAGATACTTTGGCAAAAACACTATTTAAAGATCGAATCCGATCTGTTAGCTAGTTCATTCAAGTTCCTATTAACCTCTCATTCTCTTCTTTTTTTATGTGGAGACTAACATTGCTTATATTTGGGCTGGGACTCTTTTGGTACCATGATACAACACCATTTTATTGTAGCCGTTCAGCTACAAAAACACTAAACGATTGCACCAAAAATGTTAGGCAGTTCAACCCAAGTTTACCCATCACTCTGCCTTTATTATTCCTATGTGGGACTCTAACAGAATTGTCCTGAGCCAAAACTGAACCTTATATAATTTGGTTTTAGTTTTGTTAATATGTTATCCCAAACCATATTGGGCTTAACCAAATCAAACTGAAAAAGTACATCAACCCCCCCCCCTCAAAAAAAAAAAAAAAAAAAAAACCGAACCATACTATGTTCGATTTCAGTAGTTAGGCAATTATTTCCCAAAACCGTTTTAAACGAAACCAAACTGAAAAAATAGCCAGATGAACCTGTAATGTTCACCCTAATTCTCACTACGTCCGATCCATAGGTCTTTGCATTGGTCCAAGTTAGGGCCAAACCACCCTTATTTTGCTAAATAGCGCGAATGGAGTTTGTAAAGTCACCTGACTAAACAATTACTTCTTCCGTTCTTTTTTAGTTGCAGCATTCCATTTTTCACGTTTGCCAATGCACAACTTTGACTGTCATTATATTTAATTCTGTATTAGCAAAAAAATCAGATTATGAAACATGTTAATGAGACGAATTCAATAATATTCTTCAAAAAAAATAATTCACATGCATTAATAAATAAAATGTAGTCAAAGTAGAGTATATGAATAGTGTATAAATTGCAATGTTGCAACTAATACGATACAGAGGATAATATAAAATAGCAAATCAACATATAAGCCTTCTAGAGTCTGGACTACTCCTATGAGAAATTAGATACACCTTATAAGGCTAACCTCAACACTTTTCACCCCACAAAAAAGTGTGCACAAAGGTGCCAAAATGGGTGCATGGTACCCATGAGTGGGATATTTGCCACACCATCACCGGACTCAAGCATCAAAGCAGACGTACAAACGCATAGAAAAGGAGAGAATGTTGACGCGGAAGAGAAAAATGTGTGGGACCTAGAAGAAAAAATCGCTCTTTTTAAAGTGTTATACTCCCTCCGCCCCGTTGGAAGGTTCCCGTGATTAAATGGCACGATTTTTTAGGCAAGTGGTTAAATAAAGTAATTTGGGTAAAAAAGAGAGGAAAGAGAAAATTTAGAAAAGTAAACATATAAAGTGAAAGTAATTAAAGGGAGATAGGTTGGAGGAGAGGAAATTGTGAGACTTGACATGTAATGAGTAGGAAAGAGAAATTTAAGTAAATGTGTAATTAAAGAGAGTAAATTATTTTCTAAAATGGAATGGGAACCTTTAAATGGGACACCCGAATAAGGAATGTGAGAACCTTTCAACGGGACGAAAGGAGTAACTTTTATATTTGTATTCCATTTTTTACAAGAACATCAAAATTCATAACTTTTTGTGATCTTTAGGCCCAAAATTTTTCTTAAGTAGATCCAAGTGCTAAAATTTTGATCTCATGATTTTTTTTCTACATCTTTCATTTTTTTTTTCAAAAACAGGCCTGAAGTAACAACAAAAAGATTAAACTCCAATTTTTTTACTTTAGAATGTTTAGCTTTTTAAATCATAACTGTTCGCAAAAAGATTTGGCCAAAAATTGATGTGCAGTAATAAAAGTAAGGATTTAATTCAAAAAAGTTGTGCTGGGTGAATATATTGACGACACTGGATTGCCGGAAAAAATTGGATCGACCGAGTGAATACATAGATTTCATATAAATTGGTTAATTAGGTTTATTGACGGAGCAGGGTTGCAGTTGGCCTAAGATTTTTTTTATGGTACCAAAGCACATTAATCTTAAATTAAGTCAATTAACAATGCGGTCATATGGTAAGCCTTAAAAGTGAGCATATGGATGCAACTTTTACATGAAACCTCCAGCCTTGATAGAGTTGTGCATTTAGATTGAGCCTATCATTGGTGCTTTATGAGATTCCCACATTATTGTTTTGCAGTATGCAAGTTATCAACGCCACATTCTTACAGAAGAGCTGGATAAGAAATGGATGCAGACGTTACTCCAGAATTCTGTATTCCCGAAACTCATTTTTTTCTCTTTCATTCTATCAATACCTTATATCTTGGAGCAATCAAGGACCACTTATTCTGTTTTTATACAGCAAACCACACCTTTGGAGCAATGCGAGTGGTTAAACAAATTACTATTAGAGATTTGGGCGAACTACATTGGCAAAAGGCTGTCATTGCGATTCGCTTACATGGTTGAGGTGAAGTAATAACCTATTCTGCCCATGCTTTTGTTTTTGAAAAAGAAAGATTTAACGGTCTGTTTGGTAAATGGTTTTGTGGCCGAAATGGCTAATTATATAAAGAAAGAAGAAGATTTTGTCACTTTGAGCTAAATAAGTAAGTCAACAGTTTTTATTCTGCTAATATACAAAATAAGCCATTCAAGGCTACCGAACGCCTTAATAAAACGTTGAACCTCTTAGTTTGGGATGGGGGTTACAATCTGCCACATTTTTTGGGGCTGCTGTAGTAAAATACGTATGAGATCATTGGATGCTGTTGACTTCCCAAAATAAAACCTTGTTCCAGTTTCCATCTAAGTTACCTTTGTCTATTTAGTTGGCTTCTTCCATATTTTCACTTTGGTATTTTTTGTTCTCCATGCCCAAAAGAATGTCATCCTTCACTAGGCATATAACAAAATGAAACATTCTTAATGATGTGATTCACTTCTAATTGTTATATCTTGAGGCACAAGTCACAAGCTAAAAAGCTGTCTTTGTTTTTTTTTTGTATATTTATTTATAATGCAGAGACGCTTAAAACATCAGAAACCGAGGATGATTGTAAGTTCCATTTATGCCCTCATTGTGTTAGAAGGGTAATGACCATAAATTACTGGGACCAAGTAAGGGTTCCAAGAAATATGTTGAATATCGAGGTATTGTTTGGTTTGGCAGGTGGCAAATGGCCACCACCCTCCATTCAGCTGAAGCAAATATGAAACATTAGACATATTATATTCAATACAGAAGAAAATTAATAAAAGGGAATTACTGCCTCTTTATTTCATGTATATATAGGAAAAGATTGAATTACAAGAATTTTCACTGGGCTCTCGCCCTCCACTCCTTGGTATTCGTGGAACCAGATGGTCAACTTCAGGTGATCAGGTATGCCTTTCAGTGCTTCCTTAGGAACTATTCCATATACATGCTCATACCTTCCTTTTTATACGGAACATTTATGTTTAAAAATGAAGTGAAAGTATAAGAAGACTGACACTTCCTTCCATTGAATAGGGGATCTTGCATATGGGCTTTGATTGGGACACCGATGATATAAGTGTACTTTTGCTGGCAAAATTAGAAAAACCATTGATGGGAACTGCACGAATAATGATTAACAGTCTCCACATCAAGGGTGATGTAAGTGGCGTCTATCTCTTTCTCTTTGATCTCCTTCTCCATGAAGTTAACTTTGGAATTTAAGTTGTTTTTTTAGGATGGAATTTAAGTTCTAGAGAGAGAAATATAATTTTTTAAAACTTTCATTATCACACTGCTAATATCTCTTATTCATTCATTATCACATACTCAAAGGGTGTGTTATAATAATTCCATTTGGCTTTGGCAGCAGCACCTATTTTGTTTGGCACCCGGTGAGCCAAATTTTTGTCCAAGTATTAACTTATATGTTACCGCATTGGCTGAATTGATTGAAAATTTCTAAAGCGATGTGGAATTTACTGTTAAGAACATGCGAACATGATCTCTTCCAAGGTCGAGAATGAGACAATGGAAGCGAATTTGAGAAAGAGATTAATGAATTTTCGGATCTATGATGATTAGAGAGAAAAACGAAAATAATAGACTTTATTGGAATTAATTTGGTGCCCGACCTTGTCAAGACGCAATAACTAATTCTGCCAAAAATCTGCCCCATACATCAACTGAGAACCCTTATATATAGGTCTTACAAGAGTCCTAAAAGAGAATAAACGAAATTTACCAAAACTGAATAAAGTAATTAAAGGAACTTGCTCCCAGAGTCAGCCACTTTCATTGGTTTCATTGGGCTGAATTTCTCTGGGTCGATACTCCTTTGGCCCATCCTGCGTCTTTGATATTTTTGGCCCCAGAATTTGCCCATAACAGTTTCCCTTTGACTGAATTCTGAAATAATGAAAAAATGGCACTTCTACTAATTGTTTAGATATATCTCCTTTACCTTAAAAACATACTCCGTATATGGTTAACTCAACCCATTTGGCCATTTCAACTTCTTACCCACAATCTCAACAAACTCATCCTGTCAACCAAATTTTATCCACAATAAGCCCCCTTTCAGTAGCACTTCATTGGCTTATAAGTAAGATTTTCTACTAAATTATTTTATTGCTTATTGCATATCCACAATAAGCCCCCTTGAAGTTACTTTTTTGCTGAAATAGCTTAAATGAAGAGAAATGGTACCACTATCCTGTTCTATTAGATAATTCAGCGCATTCTGTGAAGCTGTTTTATGTTTTTTATTTCCTTCTCTTTAGGCATATCTTCTTCTTCTTCTTCTTCTTCTTCTTCTTCTTCTTTTCTGGAAGTATTTTGAAGGCACTTCTTTTCAACATACGACTATTTTCAGAAAAATTAAAGTTTGACAATCTATGACGATGAACAGCTTCAATTGATTCCAGTTCTAGATGGAAAGGCAATCTTATACTCTTTCATCTCAACTCCAGAAGTTAGGATTGGTATTGCATTTGGAAGTGGCGGAAGCCAGACTTTTCCAGCTACTGAAGTTCCATGGGTCTCTGCTTGGCTGGTAAAATCACCTACCATTTTCATACTCCTAGAGGAAACTTGTGAATGTTTCTCAAGAGGTTATATCATACTTAATTTTTTTATTCTCCTATTCATTTATAATGACTGGAATAAGTGTTTCTTTTAATAATTTTTCCTTGTTTTCAAATATTTTTTCTACAATTGGGAAAAAGTGTTTTTGAAGAATTTGGTAAGTAGTACGTAGTATTAGATATGTAGACTGTCTGTTTTTGTGATATAATAAATTGGTCAGCATAGGCTATGTTTGGAATGTGAAAAATCGTAGTGTGAGGAAAAAATTACTAGGTAAAATATATACATTTCTTTTATGTTTGGTTTTCTTTGAAAAAAGTGAGGAAAATCTTTTTTTATTTACATACATTTAGATCATACAGTCTTTGTATAATATAATTATATAAATAAAATGAGTTCTGCCAGATATCTAAAAGTGAACTTAATGGAATTGAACAAATTTATATTTTTCGTGAAATTATCTTTCCTTCTTAATATCTCATGTGAATTTTCCGGGTTCCAAATGCTCCCTTAAGGCGCTACAGGTGCCACTTCTAATATTATGGTTGTACTTTTTGATAGTGAACTAGTGTTTGTTCAATCACTTGTCATTTATCATTCCTCACTAAAATGGCTATTGAATCAAGTTTAGCCATCAAGTCTTCAAATTCCGTCCTAAAAGGTTAGTGGACTGTGTAAGTATCCCAACACCTTATATAATACTTCCTCCGTCTCATTATATAAATTCCGTCCTAAAAGTTTAGTGGACTGTGTAAGTCCCATTTTCCCTTTTTCGTCCACTCCACTATGTTTGTCCAATTCCATATTTGGTAATATTTGTGTGTTCCAATTCATTCTTACTTTATTCGTACTTTACAAATATTCATTACCAACCACATCATTTCAGTTTTCTTAGTACTCGTGTCACTTTCTCATGTTACAATTTAGTGGGAGGAGGTAGTGTTTTATTTTTTCTTCTTTATATATGTATTATGTAGGATGAGATAACACTCCACATATTTTTGGTGTTACAGGTTAAATTTGTAACTGATTTGTTAGTAAAAAGGATGGTTGAGCCTAGACGCAATTGTTTAGCTTTACCTGCAGTGATCTTAGAGAGAACAGTTGTAGGCGGAATATTATGTGTTACCATTATATCTGCAAACAGAATATCCATGAAAGAAGTGAGCTCAGCAGCCACAGATGGCAATAGTTTTGAATATGAAAAACTACAAACATTTGTGGAGGTTGAACTTGAGGAGTTAAGGAGGAGAACAGATGTCAGCACTGGTTCAAGTCCTCGATGGGAATCGAAATTCAATATGACTCTCCATGATAGCACGGGAATCCTTAAGTTCCATTTATATGAATGCACTCCTGACAGTGTCAAGTATGATTGTCTAGCAAGCTGTGAAGTTAAGGTAAAACTAATATCCAGCTTTCTTTGAATTACTACTGTTAAATCTGAAGGGAAGGATTGCAATTTTCGTCCCTCAATTTCTCTTGATTATGACCCCTAATTGTCAATTTGGTGCATTTCAGTTCCTCAATTATTTAAGAAGTTGCCAATTATGCCCTACACACCATAAATTCATAACAATGAAGTCCAACTTGGAGTGTCTTGCAATTTCATGGAAGCATCACTGCATGTGTATCATTTTCTCAATAATGATGATTAGAGTTAGGGTGTGAACGACTGAATTTGACAACTCTTTAGATAACCGGTAGATTGTGTTTCACTAAATTGATCAGAAGGTCTACGTAGTAGAATTTTAAACAATGGATGGACCAAAATAGCGATATTTTCTAATTAAGAATATAGAAGATGATCTTATGGAAAGGCAGCAATACCCAATACCAAATTTTCACTGCAACATGTTCAATGAGGGGTATTAAGATAGAAATCATAATTGGGCCATGGTCACCTCTGGGTCATTGTGCACATGAGACTAATCACAATAAAAGATTGAATCTAATTGGTTGACTACTTTTAACTAAGTCCTTCAAACCCCATGCATGTCCCTCTAATATTTATTCAAACATCTTTGCTTGATAGTCTTACATTTTTGTTTCTTAAGTGGACCAAATGACAAGATCTCTGAGGGTATTATTAAATGTGATTTTTATTGACCAATGGAGCAGATGAGATATGTCCCACATGATTCGACGATATTCTGGGCAACTGATGGTGAGTCTGCAATCACCAGGCATGCTGAGTTTTGTGGCAAAGAAGTTGAAATGGTAGTTCCGTTTGAGGGGGTGTGTTCAGGGAAGGTAAGAATGATATAATTCCAAGTAGTTGTTTCTCTTTTTTACATGATAAAAGAATCCTACGTTTCTGTTTTTTTTCCAGTTATTCCTTCTTTAAAAGTTTGCAACAAGTACATCAAGCTAAAACTTTTTATCATGATTTTTTGAAAGAATTTATAGTTTTAGTAATTTAGATAGGAAGTGTATCAATAAGTATAGGGGCACATTTTTTGTTTCTACATTTTTTGTACACATTCATATGCGACATGAAGAAGAGCCATGGCGCACCGGTTAAGGTGTTGTCGTATGACCGAAAGGTCATGGGTTCAAGACTGGGGAGCGGCCTCTTTTCAAAAATTTGACAGGGGAAGGCTTGCCCCTTATACACCCCTATGGTGGGACCCTTCCTTGGACCCTCACCATGCAGGATGCCTTTGTGCACCGGGTTTCATATGTGGCATCCATTTATTGGATGTTAAAAACTTGGACAACTTTTTAACATCCAATAAATAGATGCCAAATATGAATATACACAAAAAGTCTACGTAAAACATGTATACCCAGCCTTTCTCATGTCGGGTTTAACAAGAGTAGGGGTGGGCATTTTGGGTTCAGTTTGGTTCTTATCAGTTTAAGATATTGTTTGGCTTAGATCAGGTTGGGGAAATATTGAAGTAATTGATGATTTAAAACAAAAGTTGATTTGAATTTGGGATTTTTTTTATTTTGCTGGGATTTTTGTTTTTTTAGTTGGGTTCTGATAAGTTTTGATTTGGTATGATGCTGTTTGGGATTGACATAACCAAAACATAAACTGTATTTCATATGATTTAAGTTTTGGGAATTACATATGAATCTTTTTGGTTCAAGCTAATACAGTTTGGTTCTGTCAAACTTCACTCCTGAAACTTTTTGTGATTTCCTTATATGCTTTGTACACCTTTTCTTTTCACCCATGTCAACAAAAGTCTCATTTGGAAGTCTCAATTTCAAAATATATTGAGTTTCTTTGTTTGGTAGTACCCTTCAGCTCTCATGTAATGAGTTGGTACTAGGTATATATATTTTGGTTGAAGTTAATTCCTTTTTGTATTAATATTGCATTGCAGTTAACAGTTAAACTAATCTTGAAAGAATGGCAATTTTCTGATGGGTCTCATACCTCTAGAATTTCTCATGCTGGATCTGAACAGCCATTCAATGGCTCCCCTACCTTTCCTTCAAACACTGGAAGAAAAATTAACGTTACAGTGATAGAAGGTAAAAATCTCCCCTCAAAAGACCGTAATGGCAAGTCTGGCACTGGAACCTATGTGAAACTGCAGTATGGGAAGGTATTATTCCTCTATAAATGTCCAGTTTAAGACCGCATTTGTGTCTAGGAAACAAGTTTTCTAGGAAATGTTATCTCAATTTTCCTATGTTTGGTGAAATGAAATATTTTTACGTTTTGTTGTGGAAAATAAGTTGCTGAAAGCCTGAAACATTTCATGTTCTATTTTTGGGCACCAAACATTATACTGTTCGTGGGTTAACTTATTTTATTGGAATTTCAAGGGATGGTATTTCTTGTAAAAGGTTATTTTTTTGTCATCAAACGAAGCTTTTGTCGCAAGAAAACAATTAGTGGAAAATATTCTTTGGGGCAAATGTTATCCTGGAAAAAAACTGTTTATGAAAACTGGAAAGTCATTTCCCACAAAACTCTAAGGTTATGTTTGGATCCCAGAAAGTGCAAGTGAAAGGAAAATCACGTGAAGGAACTGTAGTCATTTTCTTATGTTTGCCTTTACTTTGGAAAATGATATATGATAACTTCTTTTGAGGATCTACTTTATATTTAGATTTCTTTGAGTTTAGACTTTATTTCTCACCGTATTTTCTTTCCTTCAAATTATTCTTTAGGGTTCCACAAAAACCCTAAAGAATTAGTAAACGGTTTCTAGAAAAATATATTTTCTGGTAAACAAACTGATCCCAAGCCCTTTTTGTTGATAATCTTGGATAAAATTCTGCTTCAGAAAGAGAAGTTGACTATATGATTTGGTGATGCAAAACCTTTCTTTAGGCTCTAAAAAGAACCAGAACTGTTCCACATACTTCAGATCCGGGATGGGATCAGAAATTTGAATTTGATGAAATTGGCGGTGGTGAATATTTAAAAATAAGGTGCTTTATTGAAGAAAGGTTCAGTGATGAGAATATGGGCAGTGCACGAGTAAACTTAGAAGGGCTTCTAGAAGGATCTCCAAAGGATGTATGGGTTCCCCTTGAAAAGGTTAATTCTGGAGAACTGCGTCTTAGAATGGAAGCGGTTCGAGTTCATGATCATGAAGGATCCAAGGTATGTTCTACTGTACATGTTTGAAGTCATCTCACATGTGAAAAATATAAACAATTAAACATGCAAAGCAAAGCAAAGCAAAGCAAAGCACAACAAACTGTAGATCATTGTAGTACTCATCTCCAACTATAAAGATGAATATAAGGAGTCAAGTTTTAATATGATATCAAAGCATAAGCTCAAATGAGAAATTCGACGTCTCAAAATGAAAACACGGGATCAAAGATTGACCGGCTCTGTCAATCCCCAGCATTTTGGGGGCATGTTTTCTACCAGATTTTGACCTTTTAGGAGTGAATCCAAGTGTTAGTCAATTGTTATTTTCACTAACCTTATGATAAATGTTAGTAAGGAAAAGAAAAGCAAAAATGAAAAACTAACAGTTGGTAGTTCTATTTTGATTTGTTCTCTCTCTCTCTCTCTCTCTCTCTCTCTCTCTCTTGATATTTGGTGTTCTGTTCAGGGTTCCCATCGAGATGGATGGATTGAACTTACCCTCGTTGAAGCAAGAGACCTTATTGTCGCTGATATCAGAGGCACAAGTGATCCATATGTGAGTGTACATTATGGAAATTTGAAGAGAACAACAAAGGTTAGAAAATGACATCACTCGCTCACTTAAAAGTTTTCTTAAAGATGCAATCAACCATAGAGGTTGAGTCCCTTTGTTTTAGCATGTCCAAGATAATTATAGGATTACATAAGTTTTATGCAAATTGTTCACAATAAGGACTTTTCTGGTGGCGAAAAAATCCATGCCAGTGGCAGGTTCTCTGGTGTATTTTTGCCGGAAATGGTATAATCCGGTGTAAAGATCCTCAATATGGACGGACATATTTACTACCTCCGTCCCAGAAAATTCTGCCCACTTACCATTTTGGGACGTCCCAAAAAATTCTTCCCACTTACCATTTTGGGGCGTCCCAAAAAATTCTTCCCGTTTCCCTTTTTGGAAAGGTTTGTGTGGCTACCATTCATTTACTTTTTTCTTATTCAAGCACAACCATACATTTCCACTTTAATCCCACTTTCTTAAAATCCGATCCAAGTCAAACTGGGAAGAATTTTCTGGGACGGAGGGAGTATTATTTACTCCCCCGTCCCTTAAAACTTTGCCATCTTTACTTTTTGGGACATCCCAATAAACTTTGCCAATTTCCCTTTTAATCAATTATTTTGTGGTTCCTGTTATTTCTCTCTCCTCTGCACAAACCTCAACCACACGGTTTTTACTTTATTATTCTACATGCCGGTCAAAATTGGCAATGTTTTGAGGGACGGAGGGTAGGCATGGCAATGGGTTGGGGCGGGGCGGGTATTGCAAGACCCGAACCCGCCCCATGACTTGGCGGGGCGGGTCTGCCCCGCCCAGTGACCTGCACGGGTCCAAACTTGTTGACCCATGACCCGCCCCATGTGGGGCAGGGCGGGTCCGCCCCGCCCCGCCGCAACCTAATTAGCTAGTATGTATTTTTATTTGTGGGAAGTTGTTACCAATTGAATCTACATAAAGTTTATCTCTAAATAATAATTAAAAATCAATATATTACATCAAATTCATGATACGTTAAAATTTTCAAAAATTAAGGAAAAATTACTCAGACTTGAATAGTTAATCTAATTAGTTATATTAATAATTGAATATATGTATTAAAATTCTATATATAAAGAAGACATTGATAATCCGTCGTTCATCTCATTCTAATATATATTCATATATTATAAGATCAAAGAATTTATGATTTATTGTATACACACTTATGTATGTTGAAGTATATTTGTAGTATTATTTAAGAAACAGTATGTATACTTATATATTGAGCGGGGCGGGTCGGGGCGGCACGGGTCAATTCTAATACAGTAATACCCGGACCTGCCCTATTGTATAGGCAGGGTGGGGCGGACCCGCCCCATTTGCAAGACGGGGCGGGGCGGACCCGCCCCATTTGCAAGACGGGGCGGGGCGGACCCGCCCCAGATGTCTCGAGCCAAGGCGGGTCATTGCGGGTCGGTTTTTTTTTACATCCCTAACGGAGGGAGTACAAGACATGATATGCATGTAAAGTTGCGGGACTAATAATGATATTATGCATACTACATAAGATACGGGACAAAATGAGCAAATCTGCAGGCTCTACAATCTCCAATTTGGCGTTGCAATCAATTTGATTCTATTCCAACTTTCAGTAATTTATCTGTGCCATTAGAGAGGAGTTAGGGATAAGTGAAATTCATTTTCCCCAAATTTAGAGTATGCCTCTTTAATTCTTTTGATAGATTTTAAGTACTTTTTCAAAATGACTTGGGAAAGCCAAGCCGGTGTACTTTGGACGACATCATCTTTTCTTAAAATAAGGATTGATGGAGAAAAAGAAGTAAAATAGGCACTAGACTTTCCTTGGCCGCCGAAGCTCTTTTTATACATGTATATTTAAATTGACCGTTCTTATTGTAATTAATTAATGTTTTTAGAGCAATCAGCAATTTACCACGGTATATTGCATTTCTTGAACAGATTATTTCTAAAACTCTGAAACCACAATGGCACCAAACTTTTGAATTTCCTGATGATGGCAGTCCTCTATCTTTGCACGTGAAAGATCATAATCTTTTTCTCCCAGAAAGAAGCCTAGGTGATTGTGTTATCGAATATCAAAGATTTCCCCGAAACAAAATGTTTGAAAAGTGGATTCCCCTCCAAGGTGTGAAAAAGGGAGAGATCTATATTCAAATCACACGAAGAGTTCCTGAAAATGAGAAAAAATCGAGCCTCGGCTCCGAGTCTTCCGTAGCTAAAGCACGCCGTGATATTTCTAACCAGGTAATGGAAGCTAGGCCTCTTCATTTTTTACATAACTTATACATACTAGTATTTAGACTTTTAGTTTAAAGGGACAAGCACTTTCAACTCGATGTATACAGTATTAAATGCCATTCATGTGAATACTATGAAGGGTTAAACCATTAAATAGATCTACTTATCCCAGGTTAATCAAATTATAAATTGAATTGCAGTTTTTAGAAATTACAACTTAGCCCCTTGAGAATAGTTAGATTTTGCGCAAATGACACTTTTAACATTGAAGGAGGATAGAATATGATGTTATTCATAAGAGTTGTCCGTCTACGGATTGAATTTGGTGTTTTTAATGCATTTCAGTGTTGAGAGCTTTCTCTAAAAACTTATCTCCATGGTAAATTAAATATTGAGGGTAATTTAGTCTTGTAAAAAACTGAATTCTCAGTATAATCGTTTTATCCTCTCCAGCGCCGTCTGCAGAAAATCTGATATTTGTTAATTTAGAAATTGTTGAGGTCCATTGACATCGGGGGAGGTAGATATAAATATGAACCGAACTTTTTTGAAAAAACAGCATCACTTCATCATGAGTAGTAATTTTGAAAGTTGATTGGATATATGACAGATGAAGCAAATGATGATGAAGCTTCAGTCGTTGGTGAAGGACAATGAGGTGGAAGGGCTCTCCACAACGTTGAGTGAGCTAGAAAGCCTCCACCTCACCCAAGAAGACTTCATGCTCCAGCTTGAGACCGAGCAGTCCCTCTTATTAAACAAGGTGAATGAACTCAGCCAGGAAGTCATGAATTCATCAGCTTCGCCCAATAATTTCGACAGGACATCTACTTTTCCTTGACCACCGGATCTCATTTCTATATATACGTATGTATTCTTCCCACACACAAATCATTGGCTGTTGGATGGTCGATGGGATCCAACAGTAATTGTGTTGTTAATATTGTATTGAAAGGAGAGAAACTGTATGTAAATGCTCCATCGATGGAACTCTGTATTTTTTCTTTTGGGTCCATTAACTCCATTGTCACTTGTAAATATGACACTTTTGTGAATGATGGTGGGGAAACATTACACAAGTTTCCATTTGTTGTATTTGTCATATATTAAAGAAATATTTGTTGTATTTGTCATATACTATCGTATTAGATTTTGATTTATTCAGATTTTATTAATTCCATGGCCACCTTTTGATTTTTTTTCTTCACAAAAGCTTATTATTTTATTCAGATTAAATAATATTCAAAGTTTAAAAAAAAACAAAAATATTAAAATTCAAGAAATTTTTTGTTTAAGATTGATAGTTTTCGACCATTTGTGTCTTATATCGACACACACTTTAAATTAACTTTATATCTCTTCAATAAAGCCTTTGAGATTGAGAACATATACGGAGTAAATTTTAAAAGAAAAAATGACTAAAATACTACTCCTACGTTCTAGCTGGACAAAATACATCAGCTTAATAATACGGACATAAATAAGAACTCTTAGAATTCAAATTTCAAAAGGCCAAAATACCCTTTTCGCAAATCTAATGTTCATCCTTGCAGACATTTGAAATCCCTATAGCTCCCAGCGAACTACCCGTCGCCTCCGTCTTCCCACCATCGCCTCTGTCCCTGCATCACCGACGGCTGCCAATCCCATCACCATCGATGACGCCTTCCAATTGCATCCCCTTCTTGCCGCCTGCCAATCGCCTCACCATCGCCGCCGCCTGCGATTCATTAATAGCCCCGGCTGTAAATCAATCGTGTTCTCCAGCTCTGAAACGACCGAAGTCCGAAGCTACGAGCATCGAGCATCGCCTCTGTGCATCACTGCATCCTCAATTGGTCCTTCGTCGAGTTTCTGTTCATCTCGTTTTCATTTCTGTGATATCGTGTTAGGGTTACAAGGGTGGGGCAATGGTTGTACAGGGGTTTGGGAGGAGGCTAGGGCTGGGCTGGGGATTGGGACAGGGGCTTGAGCCGGGCTTAGGATGGTGGGGGGCCTGGGGGAGGTTGGCTGCAGTAAATGGACTGGACAGATTGGTCACCGGGGGATCATCAGCAGTGGTGGCATGAGGTGGTCACTGGCTGCGCCGCGAATTGGTCATCGGCGGGGCCGGAAAGGATCACTGGCAGAGGCAAGGACAGGTCAATGGAGACAGCGTGGACTAGTCACTGGCGGCAGCGCGGACTTGTCACTGGCGACGGTGCGGAGTGGTCACTGGGGGCGGGAAAGGTCACTGGCAGTGACGGCAGTGAATGAGGACTGGTCACTGGCAGCCGCGGCAGTGAAGACGGCTGCGAGCCTGCGATGCAAGATTGATCACTGACGGCGGTGGGGCGGTCAAATGGAATCTTGGTCACTATCGGAATTTTGGTCACAGACCGATCTTGTAACTTTATCATTGGTCACTATCGATTTTGTAACTTTGTCACTGGTCGGGTAATTGTAACTGGTCGAAACGGGTAATTATAACTGATCGGATTGGGTGATTGCACCTGATCGAATCGGGTAATTGTAAAGAGTCGAAACGGGTAATTGTAACTGGTCGGGCCGGATAACTGGTCGGATCGAGTAATTGTAACGGGTCGAATCGGGTAACTTTAATTGATCAAAGTGATTCATTGTAACTGGCCGAATGAGATAACTGTAACTGATCAGATCGGATAAATGTAATTGATCGGGCGAATAATTGTAACTAGTTGGATGTGTAACGGTAACTTTTCATATCAAATAAATAAGGGGTTTTTACAAGAATATTATTAAAATAAAACTTATTTACATAAATATGACTATTCATTACTGCAACGTAGTGTTGTGGTAATTTAAGTTCAAAATTTGAACATGAATTACTATGATTTCATTACTACTTTAGTAACTAATCATATTTTTGTAAATCATCTTTATTTTGGTCATATTTATGTAATTATTTTAATAAATACGGAGTAAATAAATAAGTAACTGTAAAGGGTCATCTTTTAATTATAATTGAGGAATAATATCAAAATTAAATAAATAATTTTTAGTGCCGCGGAGATACAGAGAGATAATCGATACTTCATACGAAGTATTTAGTGCCGCGGTAGACTAGGCAGGGGCATATTTGGCATATTGATCTTAAGATTCTAATTGATACACACGCATGGTGACTTTCTTGGTAATTTTTAAAAGAGGTCTCATTTTTGTCCAAATGCTTTTAATTAGTATTATTCATGACCTAATCCCATTTTAAAAACTTAATTAAATACAGTCAATATATATATGTCTGTGTGTGTGTGCGCGTGCGCACACACATGTGTGGGATTAAGACAAGAATATTACTACGTACTAAAAAAGGATTAAGAGGTTTATTATACCCCTTCCCACTTCATCATTGCTACAGTATTCAACGTCACAGTGACCAACTATACAATGAAATCCTTGCAGACATTTGAAATCCCTATAGCTCCCAGCGAACTACCCGTCGCCTCCGTCTTCCCACCATCGCCTCTGTCCCTGCATCACCGACGGCTGCCAATCCCATCACCATCGATGACGCCTTCCAATTGCATCCCCTTCTTGCCGCCTGCCAATCGCCTCACCATTACAACCCTCTTTCTGCTTGAGGTTAGTATACTCCCTCCTTTTCACATTAACCTCAAAATCGGAGTAGTATTGGGCATAAAACTCCCGCTCAAAATTTTCCCATGTGATATTTCCACGGTACTTCCCTTCTACACCTTCCCACCATGTAGAAGCCATCCCCTCAAGCAACCGTGAAGCAACAGTTAGCTTCACGTCCGGAGTAATTTGCATGTCCCTTGATGCATCTTTCACTTTCTTGATCCAATCGGCGGCAACGGTAATGTCACCGGTGCCATCGAAGGACCTACACCCCAAGGCCCTAGCCTCCTTGAGGTACTTGGAGATTCTCACACAGAAACCTCCCTCACGGCCACTTCGTGGCTCCATTGGAATAGCCCTTGAAGCTTCCCGGCTTCCTTGGCCTGAACCCCCTTGAGAGGCACGCCTCGCTTGGCGTCTCATGTCTCTCCTCTGCTTCTCCTTTTGATACCACTCTAGGAGTTCCCCCATTTGGGCGAACCGGGCATCACTCTCGTCATCGTTCTCATCGTCGGTGTGGAAGTCACCCCCATCATATGGGGTCTCATCGTGCTCCGTCTCGGGAACATAGGTAGAGTCATAGTTCTCGGTGTTAGTCTCGTACACCGAACTCACGTGGCCATCACTCACTGTTTGGGCTCGGTGGCCCCCGCGACCTCCACGGCCTCCTCTTCCACCTCTAGAGCTTCGAGATGCAGCCCGACTAGCTCCAACAGAAGCTATCGGTGCTTGCCCTCTCGGATTGTTTCTGGTCTGTATGCGTCTACCCTCCATTTCTGAAAAGGAATTTGGACGAGTCGTTAGACTCCAATCAATGTCAATTGACGGAAAACGTTATAGACACGTATTGGCCCAAGTCGCCGCCATACCAATTGTAAAGGGTACCATCTTAACAACTAGAGACCTTGCAACCTAGGTGACGATCATTCTGCAGTAAGCTAAGGTGAAGATCATTCGTGAAGCTTACTGCACATTCTGCGCATATATGAAGTGCAGTAAGTTTCAAGAATTTATTTGACTGCCTTCCCGGTCGAATTTTGAGCTGAAATTTGGTATGGACAAACTAGACTTGATGAGGAACATGCTCAAAAACTTTCATCAAAAAATTCCACCGGGAACCGCCCCAAACAGTAAAGTTCGGACGGTCCCTCCCGTCCCTCCGGAGGGACCTGAGCAGTCCTCTCTCTCTCTCTCTCTATATATATATATATATAGAGGAATGATCCTGTCCAGCCGGAGGGACAGGATCTTCCGTCCGGCCGCCGCCTTTTGGGGCGGTTCCCGGTGGAGTTTTTTGATGAAATTTTTATGGAATGTTCCTCATCAAGTCTAGTTTATCCACAAAAAATTTCAGCTAAAAATTCGATCGGGAAGGTAGTCAAATAATTTTTTGAAGATAACTGCTCCAACTTAAACATATAAAACGCAGTTATGTTTCAAAAAATTATTTGACTGCCTTCCCGATCGTATTTTTAGCTGAATTTTTTTGTGGATAAACTAGACTTGATGAGGAACATTCCATAAAAATTTCATCAAAAAACTCCACCGGGAACCGCCCCAAAAGGCGGCGGCCGGACGGAAGATCCTGTCCCTCCGGCTGGACAGGATCTTTTCCGTATATATATATATATATATATGGGGAGGGTTCTAGTGAGAATCCCTCTTAAAATGAGAACCCGTGAGAACCGGTGGTATTTTTGGCTGAAATTTTTTGTGTATGTTACTCGTCAAGTCTAGTTCATCCATACCAAATTTGAGCAAAAAAATTCAATCGGGAAGGTCGTCAAATGATTTTTGAAAGAAAACAGGTCCGGAATATACATATAAAACGCAGTTTTCTTTCAAAAATCATTTGACGACATTCCCGATTGAATTTTTTGCTCAAATTTGGTATGGATGAACTAGACTTGATGAGGAACATACACAAAAAAATTCAGTCAAAAATACCACTGGTTGTCACCGGTTCTCATTTTAAGAGGGGCAAAAATGTAATGGTAATTTCTCTATGTTTCATAATAGGAGCAATTTGGTCCTATTTTGAAATAAAAACATAGAAAGTCCTATTTTTGAATTTGAGCCTAGTTTTACTCCTATTTAGAGAGTTAGAGTAATTACTAAAAAAAACTTATAACAGTGTTGGAATTGCCTTATCCCCATCTTCCTCTACCTCCCGCCCCCAATGCCATATCCCAACTAAAAAACCCCTTCGGCAACTGAGAGCTTGTAACATACTATCGACGAATATGTCTCCTTCGGCTGCGAAATTAACAGAAATACCAACTTTCATTTTCTCATATCCCGCTCGCCGACCGCCGTTTTATCTCCTACTCAAACCCCTCTCTTCCATCCGTCGCACCACCACCGCCGCCACAAAAAAGAACAAAGTGCCCTCCCTGAACCATGGTACTTCTAATTCTCTTCCTTCCCACTCTTCTTCATGGCTCAACAAATGGCCGCATCATGTAGACCCATTGTCAGCTAGCACTAATCCCATTTATTCGGACTCCCAAGGCCGAGTTCTAGACCAGCGCACTACA